TTTTTTTTTTGTTTTTATATATATATATATATATATATATATATATATATATATGAACTGTATCGCAGGAAAGATAGTTTCATCACACATAGAGCGTTCTGCGATGCTTTGACGGATGAAACTGCGAGGATTACTTCACTCGGAAACGACAATTCAGTTTCGGCAAATAATCTGAATTTCGGAAATGACAATTCTGACAATAATCTGAACCAGCTGCCTCATGGATTTGTCAACAGAGATACTGTTCATCATCCGGACATTGATTCGGCCATTAATCATCATCATCATCAGTTCGGTTTAGGTTTTGGACAAGATCTGTGCGGAATGCATACCCAAGGTATGTATGTATCTATTCTTGTGTGACATTCCCTTAATTTGCCCACTGTCACATATAATCGTTTGTATATATATCTATGTATATATATGTACACACACACATATATATATCAGCAAGTGTAACTTATGTTACAGATTAACTTGAATAATAAGTCATAGAGTTTGTAATATAACATTTTTTTAACCTATTTTTTGTGCTGAATTGAATTATCAATTCGGAAAAACGAATGCTATAAATATTCAAATGTGAAGATTATATATGTCCGTTTAGTTCTCATGCTTAATTATATGAATCACTTATTGATTGATTGATTCCAATTCCATGTAGGTTTATCTGAGATGGTCCAAATGACCTCCACCGGCGGTAACCACCATCTCTTCCCGTCGTCCACGTCATCACTCCCGGATTTCGCTGGCCAATCTCACCACCACCACTTCCAAATCCCGGCGACCCCATTAAACCCTAATCTCAAATCATCATCACCAATGGCCTCAGCTTCACTACCATCGCTACAGCAACATCAAACCCTAAAAGACACATCTTTGTCTCCACTATTCTCCTCTTCGGACACACAACATCAAAACAACAACAAACCCATCTCTCCCATGCCAGCAACCGCTCTCTTACAAAAAGCCGCTCAGATGGGCTCCACCAGAAGCACGGCCTCCGCCGCTCCGTCGTTCTTCGCCGGATCAATGATGTCATCGTCGGCGGCTTCTCCTTCTTCTTCTCCTTCTCCCCGGAACCCTATCATGATCCATCACCAAATGTTCAACCCGAACCCTAGGAGCATCAATCATCAAGAGAACCACAATCTTTCAAATCCTTCTCCGCCGCAGAAAAATTCGGCGACGAGCTCCTCCACCGCTGCCCCTAAAATGGCGAACCCGAACCCAAACCCGGGTCAGAACTCGATTCAACAGATGGGTATGACCAGGGATTTTCTTGGAGTGCGCAGCGAACATCATCATCATCATCAACAACAACAACAAATGGGTCGTCCGTTTTTGCCTCAAGAACTCGCGAGGTTCGCTCCATTTGGTTGATCTCCGATTCATGATACATCACAATGGATATAATATTTGGTATTATCAATATGTTTTGGATCGGGTCAAGATCAAGAAGAGAACCACTGGAAAAGTTTTTCTGGGGGTTAGGGACCGTGAGATTTGTGAAGGGACATGAATTGTTTCGCATTGTGCGGTTTATTATGTTATATTAATGTTCATATATACACCGAGACATGCATTTAAATGTAAGATCGTGCGTTTGGCATTCCTTGTAACGTATTGTCGCAGGCATTTTGGTCCGACTATTATTTGGATTTTGAATTTCGCGTGACTCTGTATGTAGAAACATCAATATTCCAAGTATTCAAATCATCCGGAATTATATTTTGATCTAAGCGTTCTTTTGCTCTTTATCATTAGAAATGCTAATCCCCCCTGCCGGTTAGTGGGCTGTCGTGAGCAAATAGATATTTGTTCTAACTTATGGGTCTATATTGGGCCTACACAGATTTTAATGGGCCTATTTGAATTCCTCCTGGGCCTCTAACCTTCCGTTTGATTATGCTTTGAAGACGTGGCAAATCATAAGAACCTTTTGATTAGTGGGTCCCGCACTAAATCCACGTGGTGATTGTTCATTGGATGAAACAGCGTGCAACTACTTGCTTGCTAAATCAAAGAAAGAGGTAATACCCGACGGATTTAAACTGAAAACCAAATTGTCTTCTTTCTTCTCTGTCTCTCTTGAGGATTCAAGTTCGTGGGTTTACGAATTTACGTACGCATATACGTACACACATATACGTATATGCATATGTGTTGAGATCTGGTTGGGGTCATGTCGGGCATGGATTTCTTGGCTTGGAGAGGAATGGCGTACACACACCTCCTGCTCAACTTCGTATTCGCTTGTCAGCTTCTTCTCCTCCAACCTCTCGTATCGGCCTTTGGTAATTTTCCCGGAACCTGTCTCCTTTCGTTTAAAATTTTCCCGGAAAAGATTTGTCTGCTCTGGGAAACGATGTACTCGATCTAGTTTGGTATCTATCCCAGTTGATAGTAGTTGTTTTAGTTGATTTGGTTACTTGGGTATGAAATTGTGGATGAAATTGGGAAATCAAAATAATCGATTCCTCCTTTTTTTTTTTTTTGGATTTGCTGGTTTCATGCCGATAAGATCATTGAAAAATTGGGAAACCTTTTCTGTTTCATATATCTGGCGGCTATCCCCGGGGCCCGGGGGTGGCGGTTTTCCCGGAGGTTTCGGTTTGGACTTCTGATTCTTCATTCCTCAACTTCGATACGATCTACAGTGACAGGCACATAGGGATTATGTAACTTCGACTTTTCAGTTCATATATATATATATATATATATATGTATGTATACACACGCATTCACCAAAGTTTTGGTTCTTCCTCGTATCTAACATTCGCAGGCTATCTGAAACATTTTGTCGCATTGTATCGATCCACAATATATATATATATATATATGGTTGGATCTTTGATAAAATTGTAACTCAGGAGTGACCTATTTCTTGAGAAAACTGAGATTTTCCCTTAATGCATATGCAGAAGATTTGAGACAGATAGACAGAATCTGGGCAAAAAGAATAACATATGTTGTCTGGTTCCGGATCAAAACAATAACATCACGCAAGCTTGCACTGGATCAAAAGAGAAAGAAAAAAAAACAATACAAATCTCCAAATCTCATCGATTATTTATATAGCCAGTGGCTTTAGTCCATGAATCATATCCACAGGGACGAAGAAGAAGCAGCGAATGCAGACACCACGGCCACGATGATCCTGACCCCGAAACCGAGATCAATAGCTGAACCAGATGAATCCGTGGAACCACCATCGTCCCCTCCGGTAGCCGAACCCTTTGAAACTGGACCTCCCTTCTCCGGCGCCGGGGCCGGAGCTGGCGAGTCGGGTGACCCGAAAAGCGCCAAAGGAAGAAGAACCTGATCGACCTGGTAAACAGAGAGCTGTTTGTCGCTGTAAATAGTGTTGGCGACGGTGGCTTGGACAACTCCGGTGGTGATGTTGACTTGGTTGCCGGAGCTGGTGATATTCAACGGGAATTTACCGTTTTGCCCGTCGCCGGCTTGCGTGCGTAAGGGGTTGCTGACGGTCTGAAACTGAGACATGGTGAGAAGAGTGGGGAGGACATGGAACTGAACAAGCTGAACCTTCTGCTGGTCGGAGAGGGAGTTCAGGGTTCCGGATTTGAGGCTGTTGAAGGCGTTATCGGTGGGAGCGAAGACAGTGAGGCCTTGGTTGGAGGAGGAGTTGAGCTGAGTGTTGATCTGGTCGGCTGCCTGAGTGCTCTTGAGCAGTCTCATGAACGTTGTGAACTGACCCGCCTTCTCTAGGACCGCGGTTATGTTGGTGGGTCCCGATGGGGTCGGGGCCTGGCCGGAAGTGGCCGTGAACCGGAGGAGGAGGAGGAGGAAGAAGAAGGAGGGCATGGCCATTTGTTTTTAGCCTCGAGTGTGTGTGGTTTGAAGAGGAGGGAGGGTTTGTTAGTTATATAGAGAGACGAGAGAGTGTGGTGAGAAGTAATGTGTAACGTTTGGTGTGGGGATGTGATCCAAAGAGTGTTTCCTTGCAAGTAAGAGTTTTATACATAAAAGCGTTTTGCAACCAATTCAAAAGAGACTTTGGGATTTGGATTCTATGTAATTATATGGACCCACTTCTTCTATCCTACGTTAGGGAAATTTCACAACGCCGAAATTCAAATAATTCCAATCGAATTGTTACATCACTTGGCACAGAACATGAGAGAGAGAGAGAGAGAGAGAGAGAGAGAGAGAGATTGCTTTGAAGGGAGAAAGGAAGGTGTGGAAAAAATGAAATGATGAAGAAAGAAAGAACACAAGTTGTGGTGTGAAGGAGTGTGGTTGAAGAAAAATATCAGTTGGAATGGCTAATCATATGATGTAAATGTTTTCTATCATTATTATCATTTGGATCCCAAGGTTTTATCATTTGTAATATCTGTGTATATATAATGTCCTTTGTAGTTTTGTTTATAATATAAAAAAATTTTGCTAGTTTTTTAAAAAAAAAACGTTTCAAAACGCTATATAAAAGAAAAATACAATTAGCTTTATCATTATTGGATTCAAATTTCAATTACAGACTTTTATAGCTCTATCAATTCATTTTTTTTTATAAAAAAAAAGCATAGAAGTATAACCACCGTAAATCACAAAACAAAATCACATTTCTTGGACAGTTGCATTACAACCAATATAAAGTGAAGATTCATTTTTTAGCTAATCAAACTCTTAATCTTTATCCTTCATGCAGATAAAATGACTATTTTTCTTTATTTAATTCACATTCATCTGCCTTTTTCTTTATCTGCTTTTTCAACACAAGAAATATATATATATTTTTTTCATTTCACATTTCTGTATACAAAAAAAAAAAAAAAAAAAAAACTCATCAACTAAAGAAGCATGACATGACTACTTATCCACATAACCAACCTAGTTTCCATATTTCTAAAATGCACCGACCAGAGTATCTCGAATATCCGATCTGTGCTTCGGTCTTTGATACCCGCAAACGGGGAGAGAGCGAGAGATTAGCATATGGGCACGGGTTCCGCACCTCTGGCTTCAGTTTCCCGAGGCCTGTGACCGCCCGACAAGCTTTGATCTGTCGGCGTCGTTGTCTGAGGCGGAGGTGGAGTCTGGCTCGGACTCCTCCAGGACTCGGCTGATATCTCGGGTACCCGGCTTCTCCTCCATTTCAGAATCTCGATTAGAACAGTAGTGCTGGTCATGGTGATTCCAAACCCGACCAGTGTGGCTAACAGAATCGACAGAACCGGTTGTATGTGAACCTGCAACAAGATCACAAATACGACATATCTATTATGTATGTATCTGATTCGATATCATGTCGGAACGAGAACCACTGACCAGAGCTTGAAACTCTTACCAGCGAGTAGAAAAGGTGTGCGAAAATGACGACGAGGCAGAACTGAGCAGTTGCGTATACCCACACGTACTTCTTCGTCACTGCACGTTTGTTGGTTACAAAAAAAAAACATTTTTTGATCCGACCCGAAAAAAAAAGAATAATAACTATTTCAGAGGAGAACCCAGAAATCTGAAGAAACTCTCCTTACCCATTGTTGTTGATGTCATCGACGCGAGAATACCTAGGATGCAAGAGAAGGGCAAAGATATGGCGATGGCCCCTGACTTCATTTTCATAACCTTCGTCACGAAATTTTTTTTGGATAGAAACGTTAGAAACCATTCACGGGTTTTATCAAATCCACAATATACGAAACCATAGGTACTGAAAGAACCAAACTTTAAGCAGAGGCTTACGAGAAGCTGCTCGAGGTAACAGAAGTATGCGAGCATGCTTACAATGACGAGAATTGGAACATCCTGCCATACACTGCGAAGCCATTTCCATAAAAAGAATGACAATCACAATCTAAAATTATACAAGATCAGATTGAAAAGGTTTTTTTTTTTAAATAAAAAAAAAAACTTGCCTGTATCGAGAAACCTCGACATCAGGGACTCCAAATCGGCCCTGAGTATTCTGCATGCGGAGAAGGGTCACGGGAAGATTCTGGACCTCTTGCTTGCACACATCACAAGTTCGGTTCCCTTTAATGGTGAACCATTTAATTGTGCACTCTTTGTGTGCAAGAGCTAGCTCCCCTTTGCACATGCACTCCATCTTGAAGGCTTCTGAATCTTCTCCCAATTCAATCAGGCAGATTCTGCACACGGCTTCCTCTTCAGGAACATCTTCTCCCCCATCCTCGTTCTCATCTGAAACATATCACTAATATAAGGCATAGGTCGGTTACTGTATGCATGTTTAACAACACCAAAGGTAAATTTTGGTCTCAAAATGAAATCTTTATAACTTTAAAACCAAGTTCCATATCTACCGCTCAACCCAGCTATCAAAAGTCCAAGACTTGATGAAAGAAAACTCCAAGCTTCACCAAAAATTCAGACTTTGTTCACAGTTGCTAAAGTATCATAACAAGCTTCAGGACTGGGAATTGATTTCTAGGTGTAACTTTACCGGTAGCACTTCCTGGAGTCATGCTTGATGCCCTCATTCTAAGGTTCCCCTCGTCTCCATGTGATGGAGTAGGAATCACGCGGAAAAACCCTAACTGCCTTAGACTTCCATCTTTGTTGAATGCGGGAACAGAGCGTGAACGATGAATAGGCACTTGAGATCCTCTTCTCTGCATAAAAGAGACCATAGGCAAAAAATTTCCATTTGGGCAATCAAACCACTGCTGGATATATGATGACCTGACTGACATAACTCAAACTAGAAAGCAATGTGTTATTTCAAACGTAAGCCTATCAACGCTAAGCAAAGTGTGACCAACTTGATCAAGGTTCAAAACAAAACACAGAAGTCACAAAGGTAGTTCATGTGTCCATCCCCAAGGCCAAGAGGATTCACCTATGCATATTATGCAGATCCAAGGATATCAGTAAACACATCAGAATGAACACAAATAAACTGTTATTTTTTTTCCGACACACAAACACTTCCAAATACTTAACTCTAACAAAATCAGTGATGAGTAAATACTGTGAAAATTAGAATATTCACCATAAAAGCAAACGGATCGAGCGCATAGCTCCCATGCATGGAATCAGGATTTGAGTGAGCTATTGGAGTTGCAGGTAGGGATTCTGTCTTCTTCAATCTTGGAGCTAAAAGATTAGTGAGAGACCATGTTCTCGGAACATAAGACTTGTCCCTCCCTTCTGAAGCAGACCCGATTGACAAGGTTGCAGCTTTTTCAATATCCAAAGTGCTGTTAGTAGCCCGATTCTTGAAGCTTAACTTTGGGAGGAGATTTTTCAAGTTTGGTCTATTTCTTGATGGTGAAGGGCCCGGGGACACATCGAGATTCCCAAATTTAGGGCTCGACATTGGAGAGAAGTTGACCTTTTTGGCAATCGGGCTTGACGCTGTGGATACATTTACTCTCATGAAATCCTCTCGGACGTCTTCAGGTGTTCTCGGCGGTGTACCGAAGATAAGGCCTTCCTTCCTTTGGCGTTGGCCCAGCAACATCTCTTCGGTTATCTCTCCATCCTGCAAAACCAAGGAAGCACAATCATCAGAAATCGAAATATTAATCTTCTTGTTTGGTTGTCAATAAAGCAGGAGACAAGCTATCAAATACCCTCATTTTCTCATAAAGTTTGCTCCTTTATCAAGTATTCAATCAGCAAAAAAGTGTAAATCTCATAAACAAACTCGAAATTATGTTCCTTAATCGACAAGTATGAACCCTAGATGCCAAAGAACTTTTGTGCCTTAAATCATTACAAGTACTCTACTAGCGATGTGACCTTTTCTATTCCATTTTTTCTTCCACGGCTCCGAAAATTTTCAATTTGCAGAAGACCCAACAATTCACTAAAACCCTAAACCCAGAACAAGACCAACGAACGACGATCGAAGGAATTCTAAGCATGCCCATCAAAACGATAACATCGAAAACGAAATTAAACCCAAATAGCTCCTAGATAAACCGAGGCAAATCAAGATAAGGAAAGAAATATCACCCTTTGAGCTGGAGAATCGTCATCGCGAGGCCCAGTTTCTCCTTTTTCTTGTTTTTCTTCACTTCCGACCGATTTTTTCTCGTCCATCATCGAATTCGAACAAAACCCAGAAACAGAAAACTAAAAAAAACAAAAACCCAGAAGAAATAGAAAAAAAATAGTCCCTGAATTAAGGAGAAAGAAGGTAGGATTTCGCAGAGAAATACGGGCGAAGAAGTTTCTGAAGAACCATTGAGGGAAGTTGCCGTTTTATTTGTCTCCATTATTATTACCTTTATTAAATACAATTATTCCTTTTGCTGTCATTCGTAATCGTATGTATGGTTTTTTATTTTGAAGAAAAGTTATATTAATAAAATAATTGTCTAATCTCTATGGAACTTTCGGACATATGCTGTATCGGATCGATTTAAGGATTTGTTTGTTTTTTTCATCGTTAATTTTATTAATTACATCAGTTTCGGTTTAACTGAAAATATCTAACAGCATCTGAATTTTAGGGAGATGATAAGAAATGTAATGCAAAATATTTTTAATTGTTTTCTTTTTTAAATAAATAGTTGATAGTTTTTCGAGTAAAACTATATTATAATTATCAAATTTGTTGATTGATATTAGAAAAGATATCGATGATATTGATTTATAAATATATTTAATAATTATAATGATATATTTTATAAGTTTATGAATTATAATGATATATTTTACAAGTTTGAAAATAAATTTAAACGGAATTTATAAATTTTTATAAGTTTTATCCTTTTTTAAAATAATTTATATAGTCGATTTTTTAAATATTACACAAATTTAAAGTAGAAGATTTTTTTTATATAAATTAGATTATTGATATATTTTTTGAATTTATCTTAAAATTCAAAATATAAAGAGAAAATGTTTTACTATATCTAACTTTATTCCAAAACTTCTTATAATACGAATTTATTATAGACGTATATGAAAGTGCATCACAAAATTCTCTTTTTTTTTTTTTTTTTTTTTTTTTTTTTGCACCGGCAATTTAGTAATTTATTGACAATAAGTATCTATCAACTACATTCTTCAATTATATATGAACATCTCTGTAGAAATAATTTTAATAATCGTTGAGCATAATAAAATACATATGTGTGTATATATATATAGAGAGAGAGGGGGGGGGGGGGAGAGAGAGAATAATTGAACAACCTCTAAAATTGGAAAAGGACAGGCTTGTAAGTTAGTCAGTGTGATGCGAGAAGATGCCAGTTGGTCCGATAATGCGACAAGCAATATTGAAATGTGAAACTCTTTAATTAGTGATTAAGACACTTTATTAAACTATTTTTTTTTTAATAACCTCTTCTAAGAAATGAATAGATTTGGTGACGCAGCTGAGATCAAACTACATGATTCACACCACACTTAACCCGATTAAAAAAAAATATATTTGACGCACTATGGAAAATAAGCATAATACATTTTCCAGTATAATATTGTCATTAAATCTCTAGTATCATGAAAAATCCAAAATATTCTATCGTATATGGACCTAACTGTAACTTTTGAAACATTCAGGTCTGAATATGAATAAGTTGTTAAATTAGGGGGCTCAAAACGTAATTTGCCCATAATATTATGATGTTTTCTTTCGATTGGGCCTTCGCTTGAGGCCCACCAAATCTAGTCCGCTAAACCATAAAAAAAGAAAATTAACATTTCGTATTCCGTCCTGTTATTTTCTTCATTTTTTTTAAATAAGATTAGATTTTTTGTAACATATTATAATTATAAAATTGCACATTGAACATTTGCTAAAAAATCGAAAATTTCGTATTACATCGGAATTCACAGTTCACCAATTTTTTTTTGTTTTTTAAAAAAAATCATAAAAGATTCGATTTGGAATTTGGATATATATATATATATATATATATATATATATATGGTTCAGTTCCACTAAATTCAACATGAGGGATGGTGGATTCAAAGCATACATTTATTCAACACCGGAAGATGAATCAACTTTATGATGGATTCAAAGCATACAGTTATAATTTCAGCAAGGGATCATAAAATACAACACATTTCATATAAAGATATAGCCGCTTTGTTTATGTTTCCTCCACGACTGTTGCATTCATTGAGAAGAAGAGCTCGGATGCTCTTTGTCTTCTTCTTCATCCCCTCCTCCTCCATTGCCATTGCCATTGCCATTGTTCACCTTTATCTCCAAAAGCCTCTCGACGGGCTGCCTACAGATTGGACACCTATTTGTCTGAAACCTCAGCACCTTTGCGCATCCACTGCACATACACTTCACCCCACGCACACATACACACACACAAAAACCAGAATGGTTTCAGGATCATTTCCATTACATGACACATCTGTGTTTCGATGATAACTGTGGAACTTACCATGTGCCGGCAGGGAAGAACAGTCGTGTCCCGTGGCCTCTTTCCCCGGGTCACCTGCATCTGAAGCGTCCTCGTCTCCATCGACCGTGTTACCGATCCCATATATCTCCTGCAACTCGTATCTCATCCCATTCACCCACAGTATCTGCTTCACCACCCTTATCTTGATCTCCCCTTTCTCCTTCTCATACACCGCCTGTGTAATCTGTGCATTCGTGGATCCCGACCCTCCTTCTGCTCCATTCTGGTTACTGTCTCCGGCTTGAGTTGCCTCCGCCTTAACTGCTAACGCGTAGATGTCTGTGTCGGCCGCCGCTTTGAGCAGCTCAGCATCCTCAAAGACTGAGAAATCTATCCCGGTGCCAGAGGATTGTATGAACTTCTGACCGAGTCCCTTTTCGAAATCAACAGTCACTGGTGGCAGAATATCTTCCTTGGTCGGGGTTAGATTGCATTCTCCGCCTTCTTTGGCGAAGAAGACGACTGTGATCCTGCTCTCCGGAACCAAAATAAACAAAATCCAGTCATTTAAGCACTCGTACACACAAGTATATCTATGCATATTGCATATGGCTCCTGCAGCATGATCAAGCGTTGATCTCGTCAAAGTCCCTACCAATTCGGATTAAAGGTTCGAACTTTTACACTGAAGTCATGAGGAAACCAGTCATAAATACGATCCTTTAACTATTCAGCAAGGAGGTGCGAATCATCTGCCGCAACTATGGTCACAAACATATGATCGTTCACTATGATCTCTTAACAACTATTTGGAAGTGAGGCAGAGGAAATGGCAATTAACCTTCCGGAGACGGTCGCGTCAAACGTGAAGGAGACGAGAAACCGACCCGGATTCTCCAAGTCGGGTTCCAGCCTCAGTGTCTCCTTCTTCAGATTAACGTCGTTACGGATCGTCACGGCCTTCTGGTGCTCGACGTACGGAAGCGGCGGCGGCATCATCGGACCGCAGTGATACCTCCCGGCGGCTGTCCAAGGGTGGTATGGCTGCGGCGGATAGTGATGGTGGTGGTGGTGATCGTATGGCGCCGGGAGAGGTCCCGGCATCGTAGCCGGAGGAGGAGGATAGTAACCTGGGTACTGGTAGTACTGGTTAGGGTTAGGGTTAGGATTCGGGTAAGGCGTCGCGGCGGCGAAGACGTAACGATTGGGCGGGATCTCCGTCGCCGGAGGCGGAGGAGGAAGATTATAAGAATCTGGCTCCGGCGTCTCCCGTGGCGGCGTCTCCCGCTTTCTCCGCCGTTTCCGCTGCTGCTGCCGATGTTCCCCATGGCGATTTCAGACGAAACCGAAATCAAAATTACCGATTTTTCCGCGACCCAATTGATCAGAAGCGAGAAACCGATCGTGGGTCTATCTTGAAATCGGGAAAATTGAGTGGAATTGAAGTAACGTAAGAATCAAAGGGAAGAGATTTGGATTGAAAACAAAAAGGAAGAAAAGGGGAAAGAGAGAATAATGTGAGAGAGGAAGTGGGTGACAACGATGGGGTCGGGAGGGGACGAAGAAGCTCCACCCAAACAAGGAACACCGTCGATGGCGTTAATGGGAAATACAGGTAAAACATTTCTTATTATTGTCTTTAATGATTAGGAAAATATATTATTATTATTATTTAATATTTATTATAGATTTTGTTACTATAAATTGCTATTAATTGTCTCATTATGTTGCCAATTGACCAAATATTTAATTACGAGTGAAGTTATCATTCCATTTCATAGTTGAACTTTGAAAGATAATATAATTTTTTTTTTATAAATTATACTTCACTCGTAATTAAATATTTGGCCAATGCTTTTAGGCTAATATATATTTTTTGGTTGCAAAATGGTAATAAAATAATTTTGGTTAATAAATTCGTTATCTTTTCGTCCTTGTTTTTAATAACGTAACATTTTATCGTATGTTTAATTGTTTTAGTGTATTTATCAGTGTGATTTAATTAAATATTTATTAAATAATTTGGACGTGTAAATTTGTAAACATTTTAAGATTTACCCGTTTCTTACTAAGTTGATAAAAATACAAATAGTAAAGAAAGAAGATATGTATTGTGGTTGCAGAGTCTAATTCTAATTTCTAAGTATTGTATTTGTATGAGGAGAAGCAGTTCAGTATTAAAATTCATACATACATTGCTTATTACAAGAATCAATGGATGTATACAATTGATCTGTCTTGTGATAAAAAAGAATCAGCAAACAAAAAAAAATGCATAACATGAATTTGCTAATAAACTTTGAAGTAGATGAAAGGTATAGAACCAGAAACAGTCGATATATACACACACAAACAAGCGTGTACGTATATGCCCATCATATGCATGCATGGCTCCTCGCACGCCATTCACAAAGACCACCCGCTACTTTGATGAGCTTTTGCAAATGGCATACAGGGAGCCAGGCATATGTATACACACACACACACACTCTTGAGCTTTAAACACATACATACATACATACATACATACATACATACATACATACATACATACATACATACATACATACATACATACATACATACATACATACATACATACATACATACATACATACATACATACATACATACATACATACATACATACATACATACATACATACATACACACATACACACATACACACACATACATACATACATACATACATATACTTCTTTTTATGAAATGTATAAACATGTATTTTTGTATATGTAAAGCTATATAAATGGGTTAGTTTGTGGAGCTGTATATATGTAGATGTATAGATGCTAAGATCGATACGGACATGTGCCAATGCAAGGCAAAGCTAATTGATACCTTTGTTCTTCTTCGTTTACGAGAAGCAAACGATTTGATCTCTTGGAATTGAAAAGAGCTCAGTTTGGAACATTTGCAGTTCCAAAAAGGAGATTCACTCTCTTCTCTTTTGCTCTAGTTTCTGTGTCTATCTTATTATGTGTGTGCGTGCATATATATGTGTGTGTATATATATATGCTCATTGTGTATGTGATATAAACATACACATAATTGAGAGAGAGAGGGAGCAAAAAGACTTTTAAATTGTATATTTACTTTTTATATATAAGTGTATGTGTTTTATTCATAGAGTCTAATGAATAAAAGAACTAACATATACAAAAATATGATACATTGGTTGATTTAATCACCCCTTTTATTAGATGGGGTTAATTTCTGATTATGAGGGCAAATTGACAAAAATATAGTATATCGTGATGAAAATTTTAAATAAAAAAATAGTGTGTATGTGTAAAAGACCAAGGTAAAGACATAGCCACATGTAATTGCAAATAATAATAATAATAATAATAATAATAATAATAAGGATTGATTCGCTTTTTTGCAGATGTGTAGAGGAGAAAGCAAAAGGTCTCTGCTGCTGCTTCTGAAAATGGTTTGTCTCAAAGTGCTTGGATGACCTCTGGATTCCATGCTTTCCCACATCAATACACTAACACCTTTATATATATATATATATATATAATATATTTTAATTTGTTTTTTAAAATCTAATATATAATACTGTTTGAAAAACAAAAACAAAATCTTTCTCCATATCTACCTATGCCCCTTGAGCCCCTCTGATTTACATCATATCCGTATCTTTTGCTTCTGCCCACTTTCATTACATCATTTTTGCAAATCTGACCAATGGCTTCATGATGTGGTCCATTCTTCCATTACCCAAATGGAAAAATGTTATAAAATTATAACCTAAGTTTGGGTAATCGCTACATCATGCAAAACATAATTTTATCCTGATTCAAATTCAAAAAGGTCCGATAAATTTCTAGATTATTAAAAAAAAATTGTTATAAAAATATCTTAATACTAAATATGGCGGATAATGTGATATCAAAATAGGCAAAAAAAAAACTTAAAACATAAACATTATAATATACATGAAAATGAATGAAAAATGGGGCATGGATGTGGGTGCAGAAAAAAGGACAGGAAGAAAGAGATGAATGATTGAGAAGCGGTGGAAAAAAAGCTGCAAAAATTTTAGACAGAGATTCCATGAACGGAACTGAACTGCTTTCGCTTCTCTTTCTTCAAACTAGTTTTTGGTTCTACACATTGTTGGATATCTAGCTTGAAAAATACTGTTTTTAAATATTGTAGGGA